GGAAAACTGGGGAAGGTGGGCAGGGGAAGATGCAAAATAAAACTGAGCAATACTGAGTAAAAATAGTTTAAAAAGGCTTCTGTAAGACTTCTCAGCATCTTTAGAAAGTGTGGGAATCTCAAGGTGGGGCAGGGTACAGATCAGTCATCAAAACTTACATGGTCTTCTTAGATCTCTCCAAATACTCCCACACTTAGAAACACTATTCCAGCTAAACCTTTTGAATAGATGAATTCTCATTTAAATGAACTGCTACCTACAGATAAAGATATTAAACTCATCTTCTAATATAATTACTAAATCCCATTATGATCTAACTATATACACAGCCCAAAAGGTTTGGGTCAGTCTAACGTCAGAAAGCACTTGCCTGGGTAATGTAAATGCATTTAGAAAGTTACCTAGTTTCAATAACTATGGGTAGATAACCTAAAAAAAATTTCCTTTTGTCATTGGCTAATGTCTAATTCAATGGCATGATCCTGTAAATACCCAACTGTAATGGTGACTCGAAAGAAAAGGGTTATTCAAAATTTAAGATATCAATACTCTGGATTTTTCTGGAAGGTCTATGTTCCAAATTATCATTTTCCCTTAAGATATGAAAAATCTGTGGTAAAACTTATTAAAGAGATGATCACCAATTAAGTCATACAGACAGAAATACACCTGCTTGTAATTTAAAATAAATGGAAATAAGTATTTCAGTCTTATTCACCAAACAAAAATTATTTATTTCATCTTATTTATCTTCTATTTTTGTCCGATGAAAAAGCAAGGGAAAAGAGGCAGACCTAAAAACAAAAGTAATAACAATGTGAAGTCACAAGTAACCACTGAAAACAGTTACGTGTAACATCAACTGTCTTCCTGGCTTACACTGCAGGAAAGAACATCTGTGTGTTTGTTTCATTCATTCAACAAGTATTTTACTGAGCACTCACCATGTGCCAAGAATTGTGCTCAGCACCCAGACTTCTTAAAAAGTAAATAACATAGGCCCTGCCCTCTAAGAGCTTACAATCTATTATTTGTTGAGAAGAAAGGGCAAATAAACGATACAAGTCAATGACTAAGTGCCAAAATAAGCCAAATAGTAAAAGTTATGGACACAGTTCATTGGATTTTGTTATTAATAACTTGAAGGGGAGATGTAGCTGGGAAAAGTGATTACGAGAAACTCCTGGAGAAGGCAGGACTTGAAATGGCAGAATTTAGACAGTAAAGGCAAGTTCACGGTGGTAGTGAGCTGGGGGCAGTATGGCAGAAGAACAGTATAAGTGTGGTCATGAACCAACACAATCACTCAAGAAACCATGAAAAGATCAGCCTTTGTTCAAATTAAGGAGTATGAAAACATGGCTCAGAATCATGCTTTGAATTGTACCAGGAGATTCTTTAAAGTTAAGCTGTGGAACTTAGACATTAAGCCATAGTAATAGAATAACATTGGAGGTTCTTGGGCAAGGAGATAACACAATGAAATCTAAGAGAATTTTTTTGGGGAAGCAGGCTGGAAGAAAGAAAACCATCTCAAAAATTAAGAGTATCATAGGCATGGGAATGGAATGACTTGGGCTTAGATGGCAGAGGAACAGAAATAAAGTAAGATCTGTTAAAGCCTGTTTTACTTAAGTATCAGAACAAGAAATTCAAACTCATTTGTAAAAAGCAATTAGTCACTTATCAATCTATTGAACAAAGGCAAAAAAAGCCCCTGAATAATTAGAATTAGGGAGGCATTACTAAAAGAATTTTCTGCTCTTTTATTTCTGTATCAACCTATAAAATCTCATACATTATCACCCAAATCTTTTCAAATTATCTGATTTTAATCATAGGCTGTTAGAGCTGAAAGGGACCGTAAGTCTTTTATCCCATTCTTCTCATCAAAAGAAGAAAACTGAGAATTAAAAAAAGAAAAAAAAAGGCCAGCTAGGGAGGACTCTCCTGGGCTTTAAGTGAAGGCAAAATAATCTACGACAAAGATGGCAGGACTTGCAAATAATACTTTGTGTAGGAAGGACAACAAAAGATTAAAACCTAAAACATTTTGAAGGCAAAACATTATATACTACAGCTATAAAGAAAGAAGATGGCTTCACATGTAATTAAGACAAATTACTACTGGAAAATTTTATTGCCACCAAGCAGGAAAATTTCTAATATGGTTTTTTAACCAGTGATAAACCATTTTTTAACAGATATTACTTTAAGTTTATACAAGTTGCAAGGTCTCTTCCAGCTGTAGGACTCTGTACTTCTCTAAAAGCAGAAGCACAACTTTCCCATATGAAGTTGATGTACAGTAAAAAAGGCAAATTTTGAGATATATAAACTGAGATAAACTTGAAAGGAATATTAATAAGCTTCATTTGGTAATTTTCAAATATTTACTACTACTAATGGATTCAACCTGAATTCTAAAAAGGGCATTGTAGGTTATCTCCTGAATTAAAAAACAACTCCCCCTCCTCCCCCACATAATTCTACTCCTTTAATCTAAGTAACAGGCTGCTTTTGAAAAATTCTAACTCTGGCTTCCCATAGATTGTTATTCTGTCCAGTCTGCATATTATCTTACAAACAAGTTTTAAAATTTCATGTCATGTTTAGTAACATTCTGAGTGTTTAGCAAATAAGACTGCCACCAATTTTAGTCATTAGGTGGTCCCCAGAATGAGATCTTAGTGTGAACTAGACAATGTATATGAAGGGTCCATAATCTGTCTAAAAATCCAAAAAATGTGTAAATTACATTTTAAAAATAGGATGGCAGAAGCCAATTTTTTGTCACTGTAGTCAACTATATGAGCACCCTTATCTCTTCTCATTATCTGACCACTGACTGCTCATTAATACTTGAGAGTAAGTAGAAAGAAAAAACAATGCAGAAAAAAGGATCAATTTTGCCAATTATCAACTTTTAAGGTAGTTGTTTAAGGGGCTTTATATATCTGGGTTACTTGAGCTATTTAAATTATATATGCCCTCTCAGTCAATTATCAGAGGTAAAATGAGTTAGTTTTACTAAGATTTTGGCTCCATATTTGTTAGATATTAAGAGGAAAAAAACAATCTAATTTTAAGGAAAAACAATGGGAATTCTCTTGGGACCTTCAGAGCTGGTCTTCTAAGACAGTTTATTCATTAGACTAACAGGAGCCAGTTGGGACAAACTTCTAAATATCTAGACAGACATGTATATTTAAAGACACATGGCATATACTGGCCTAGAAAAAAAGTAGACAAAAACAACAAGGTAAAAATTCAGAGTATTTGAATGGATATGTACCAAGAAGCAAGTTACCTTGCTAAGAAGATGGTCACTGACACAGCTAAAGAGAAAGGGCCATAAAGCAAACTGTGACCAGCTTATGTCAATGAGACAAATAAATGTACTTAACCAAAAAAAAAAAAGAAAAAGAACAAAAGAAAATAAAACAAAAAACCCCTACATTTTACTAGAAATGACTAGCTGGTATCTTAGTTGGCAAGTGCAACAGCACCCTTAGAGCAAGGGTAAGCAGGTCAATCCCTTGCAAAACTTACCTTGATTGGCCCAATGGAAACAGAAGGCCCCAGAAAAGAGAGAAGCATCTGGCAGTAGCAAATTGTTTTATTTTAGCTTTCTGTGGAAAGAAACTAATTTTAAATAAGAACCAGAGCATTTAAAGAATAAAAATTTTTTAAAGCTCATTATCTAGTTCGAGCAGCTCTACTAAGAAAACAAGAAGAGCTTCCGTGCTGCTGAGAGATGGAAAGAAACAGAAGGGGAATCAGAGTAGTTTCTCCATCACCCATGGAGTTTTAAAACTTGTTATTCTAGACTAACAGAATAAATTTTTTTTTTAATTTAAAGAATTACAGGCAGAATCTTTTGGGCCTGGTGCCTTTGAATTAAGATTTTTATACAAAATTAAGGGCTATATTTCAAATAAAGAAGAAAACCATTTGACATTAAGCCCTCTACTCTTAAAGTTAAGTAAAAAGAGACAGACACAAAGCAAGCTCCTTTCTCCACTACACTTTCATCAGTAATTTAAACGATCAAGGCTTTAATAATTATCAAAGCAGTATTAATTAGCAGAAAGATGATACTAATTGACTGACTTTACAAAATATTTTGTTAGCCTAAATATTTTGACAATTTATTGAGATACTCAAATGGAAAAAACCCAGCCACCAAAGGATATGTGCATTATAGAAACTAATGGGGCATAAAATTATTCATGGTAACTGAACCTGTTATCTTTCTTGGATGCTTCTCTAGGAACTCAGGTCTACTGAAGTCACTGAGTCAGCATTAAAACCTTTTGACTCAAATCACTTCCACAAAATGTGTTTACAATTTATGCTAGAAATGGAAGGGACAGCTCAAAAGCAGGAGTGCAGAAGCAATAAGCATTTTGAAGAAACAGAACAAAACAAAATAGTGTTAAGTTGAAAATGAACTACCTATTTGGCACTGTCCTATGAAGAATCAAATTAGAGCAGAACCTCCCCACCTATACCCCAACCACCACCCACACACACAAAAAGAGGAAGTTATTTCAAGAGTAAAACTCATACTAAGTCAAAGGCCTGAACAATTGTTATTTTCAGATTCTATGCATTTGCACAGTCCACCTACAAAAATTATGTTAACCTCTCAGATAATATATTTACTCTTAGAACAAAAACTTAAATTGGCATACTTGGGGAGAAAAAGTCATTAAACTAAATAGCCTAAATATACAGTTACCTTTAAATAAAAAAAAAAAAAAACAAAACTATTAGTTTTATACAGTAAGTAAATGTTTTATACAGAAGACTTTTCATTATGTTCAAAATTTGTTACTGTCATTACCCAACATTTGACTTATTTGAAAACACTTTGATACAGACTGATTCTTAAACAGCTGCGAGTATTGATCCAGATTTTGACATCTTGACACAACTAATAACCACAGGCAAAAAAATACACAAATAAATACAAAACAAAACAGTAACATTCTTACTTGTCCCATTGGTGGCCCTCCCATAGGAGGCATCATTTGCGGCATCATTCCATGAGGTACAGGAGGCATATTTGCTCTCTGACCCATAGGGTGCATTCCCATTGGGGCATAATGCATGCCAGGGTGCCCCATCTGAAAAAGAGGGTCAATTTAAAAATTACCAAGTAATAACAAATGCTTGTAAAAAATCTTATTTCAACAAATCCGTTACATGCAGTGTTGAATTAGGCTACTGTATGTTATTGGGTTAGTTTTACTATCTTGCAAAGTGCACTACACCAATATTATAATGAACTTGCAAGTGACCAAATTCCAGAACAACGTGTGAAAAATTAAAAGCACGCTGATTTAATCGGCTACTAATCAGCCTAGCTAAACTCGGGAGTAAACATCTGTGAAAGCCAGTTTAAGAACTATTACAGTGAAAACCACAACTTTGTCCTATTTTACACAGATACAAGATGGTTAGCTATTTTTACAATACTCCTTGTTCTTAAACCTATTTCTAAAATTACCTTAAACTTTAAAGCATTTAATTTACCATATTCAGATTAGGGCTTGTTTAACAAATAAAACACAAACAGTATGGGTGCCTAGAACACTGCATCCTAACAGAAAACATCTCTTTCGCCTGATGGCATCTTAACACCGGTAGAATTACTTCTGCCAAAAAAAATATTTTCAAAAACTAAGGCCTGTCATTCACCGACACTGAATGCAAACCATACGTCCGTTTTAATGAGCTTTTAAAAGACAACTTTCTTTACCTGTGTACCTATTGTTCCAGGTCTTAAAACCAGGTAATTATCCCCTTCCAATTCTCCCAGGTATCGACCCTTGCAGACAGTACTACCACTGATGAAAACACATTTTGGCAGCCTATTTTAAAATTCACGAAATCAAGTCTCTTGTCTCCCTCTCTCCTGCCAAATCGGGCCTACCTCTCTCAAGACGCTCACCCCGCCTAGGGCGCAGCACCTCCACCGCGCATCTGTCTAGGCCAAGCCCACTGACAACTTCCAGGGTCCCCACATCCTTCCCTTTGTGCATCCTCTCCCTCCATTTCTCTCTTTCATTAGACATCCCACCATCTCGAGCTCTTCCTTCGTCCATTCTTATCTTCTTCTCCTTTTGGAGAAAGCTTCCTGTCTGATTTCGCTTTTCATTGTGCCGCTTTCCCCCTGCCCCATCGATCCCTTACCGAGGGCCGTCTCCTCAGGAAGCCGTCAGCAGAGACCCAAGAGCTGGAGCAGAGGCTTGAGCCGGACAGTCTCCGCTCCCCGTCCCCGGGACCCCGCGAGGGAGGTTGGCTCTCCATTTCACTCACCATGAGGCCTCCACGCTCGGCTCCCGTTCCCGGCCTCATCGTCGGGTTCAGACTGCTCCGCCGGCGGCCACTGCCGCTGCACATACCAAGAAGAAGCGATCTGAGTGGCTGGCGCCCGCTGGGGCCAAAGGTTAAAGGCTGACCTGCGCTACGAGGCGGAAACAGCGGGGCCAATAAACTGACAGGCTTCCCTGCTATCCAATCAGAGTGCGCAATCGATACGCAGCTCTGCGGCGATTCGCCCCCAGCCTCAGCCTCACTCGAAGTCGCCTGCATGGAAGGGGAAAAGGGGGACAGAGGAAGTTTCTGTGCCGAGGCCTCTTGTTGGGCGGACTCCACCAACTTTCCCCGGGGAAGAGAAGATATTCGTGTCCCAGTTTCCCGAACTTAGACCGCCTCACCCCGTAAGGGGTGGGCAGTGGGGGCTTGCCACCTTCACACCCCCCGCCTGAGTTACCGTCTACCCCACAAACCTGAGGCCTCAGGGGTTGAGTGGGGCGGGGGGGGTGGGGGGGCTGAGCAGCTTCTAGCGTTAGCGGTGGTCGCGGCGCAGGGAAGGCAAGAGGAGGGGGCCCGAGGAAAGGGTTCGGGCTCCGAAATCACTAGCAGGGTAGCAGGCGCCCAGGCAGGGCGGGGGTGGGAAGTGGTGGTAGGGGCGGGAGAACAATGCGAAAGGGGAAGAGGAATTGCCTAGGGCGAAGCAAGCTAGTCGGGAAGTGAGCTGCCGTTAATTAGGAAGCCGGGCTAGAGTGCGAGCGTAGAGGGGAAGAAGGGTGAAGACAAATGAGTGCGGGAATGTGAATCGGCACCGGCGGGCGCTAGGACCGGGCGTCGGGAAGTTGCCGCTTTGGGGCTACCGGGGCGCGCGCCCGCCTGGAGCTGACGCGGCCGTGGCGGCGGTCTCTGGCCCAGACGAAACGCTGAAGGGAGAGGAGACTCAGCTACTTTGGGCCTCGGCCCGCCTCTCCCTGCATGCTTCCCGGCCTAGCTTCCCTCCTACTGCCCGAGGTCTGCGCTCTAGTCCAGAGGCGCCCAGTCTTTCGTAGGACGCAAGGGGCCATCCCCGCCCCGCTACGCACCCTTGGGCTCCCCTGTGCGCCCAGGTCGGGTGGTGGAGGCCCTGGGGGGCCCTGCCGCTGATTGGCCGCTGCGAGCACGGAGCGGGACGCGTGGGAGACTCACGACCTCCACGGGCTTCCTAGTGTTCCCGCCATGTCGTTCGTGGGGAGCGCGGGGCGCTCGGCTCTGACGCGCCGCCGCCTGGGCACCCCTCTCCAGCCTTCTCGGCCGGCGTTTTCTGTCTTCACTCAAGGGGACAGTCGGGGTGAGGGTGAAGTTGACGAGGAGGGATGCGACCAAGTGGCCCGCGATCTGCGGCTGGAGTTCTCGGTCGGGGCGTCGTCGGAGCCTAGAAAGGGTTCGCTTTTCCCGCCGGGCCGGGACGGGTCGCTGCTCCTGCCCGAGAAGCGCAATGGCATCTTCTCGGCGAATGCGAGCGGCCGGGCCCAGTCTCGGCGATGGCCCGTCCAGGTCCTCTCCATTGCCTGTTCGCTGCTGTTCGCCGTCCTCCTCGCCTTTCTCCTCGCCATCGCCTACCTGGTCGTGAAAGGTACTGACGCTCGGGCACTGAAAGTCTGTCCCAAGTAAAGTTGTGCTTGGGTTTGGCTGTCGACCTTCATCACCCCCTCTCCCCGTCAAAAGCCAGCAAGCCTAGTAGCCACTTTCACCCAGAGTCCTCATTTGAACCTTTCTTTGCTCGTCTCTCTTTGTCTCTCTTTTCTGAAAGGTGGAGGGTCCTGGTCTCGGTTAGGAGACCTATTTTAAGAATGGGTCTTGATTAAATGGGTACTCTTGAAGAAACAGTATCAAAGTCAGTGACACTTGAGGTGAAATACTGGAAAAATTAAGCACAATGCAGATCATTAAAAGAAGACGGTGCAAAGTGTGTGTGATTAAAATAGGCCATACATGTTTAAAGACCAATCCGCAAATGGTTAAAAATGTGCTGTCTCAGCACTAAACTGTTTTCTACCTTTATCTTGCATCTACCTACCACTTCAGCATTTTATTAAAAATAATAATAATAGTAATAAGGGAGAAATGTGGGATTCACATATAAATCAAGGATAAAAATCAAACGAATAATCATAATTGACCTGATTGTTTATAGTTCATGATGCGTGATCAAACCGAAAGTTTATGTGATGACTGCCCTTGCACTTTCACCATGTAAGAACTTATTCACTATGTAAGAACTTGTTCACCATGTAAAAACTTGTTCTTTATGCTTCAGAAGATTGAAGACTGTTGAGAATTAGGCTTGGGGTTGATTAATGATTGTGCATTGAGTCCCCTATACAGAATTTTATTGTTGTTAACAACCATATGATCAATAAATATGAGAGATGCCCTCTCAAAAAAAAAAAAGAAGTGCTATCTACCGATTCCTGAGTATGCTCGCAGAATTCCTGAAGGATTAGGCTTTCCATGCCACAACCCAAATTTCTACTTTTGTAGGTAAAATAATTAGCCTGGCTAATTATTAAATTTATTTATTAAATTTGCAAAGAAGTTTTATATTAAATTTGCAAAGAAGTGTACTGGTAAAGTTCTATTGCAGAAACTAGATAGCCTATTCGTTTTCTGATTAACAGTTTAATTGTGCTGTGTCTCAAGTTAAAATATCGGCCCGATTGGAAAGAAAGACATGTGCCGTGAAAGGTTTTCCAAAGTTTATATGGCTATATATGGTTGGATATTCTATGGTACAGTGGAGAGAATCAGACCTGAGTTTAAATCTCAATTCTTACTCTTGTGTGACTGGCCAAGTTATTGACAACGAAAAACTAAACTTGCCTTAGTTTGTTGTCTGAAAACCACCTAACACATTGTCACCCAAGTATTTGTTTTACTTCACTAGATAGAATTAAGTCTATTAAACTCCAGTTTTTATTTTTCCTCCTTGCTTCTAAGCCCCTAGTGGGCTGCAGATGGTATCTAACGGCATGCCATGCTTGATTCTCATAGAGAAGACAGATTGGCAAATAAATCTGATCCTCTTTTTAACAATGGTATTGGGTGTAAACTGTCGATGTTAAATATTTGAGTGCCAGTGTTTCATTCCTCTATTGTGCACACCCCCCCACCTCCACCCGCTCTTTTTTTCTGTGCAACTCTGGGCATTTAGTAGGTAGTTTATTTCTCTTGCTCTGAAAGATAGTCACAAAGCCTGGTTAGTGTAAACACAATGTAGAAGATACTGAACTGTGCTTATTTTGGAGAAGGAAGAAAAGAAGGGAACTCAAAACCATACCCTATAATTTACATTGTATAAAATGTCTTCACAACCTTAAGGAATCAACATTTCCATTTTTTATATATGGCAATTACTCATGGGTATTTGTTTACTAAAGGTCACACATGGCTAGGAAATGGAATCAATTTAAACCTAGTTGTTTCTGACTCCAGAGCACTTTCCATAACTCCACTATGTCTTCTCAGCTTTTGAGAATAATTACATTCAAATTATTAAATCATCTGTTTTATCCAAACCCCTTTTGTATTTACAGAGTTACATGCTGAGAATTTAAAGAATGCAGGTGATACAGACACTGGGCTATTAGGTATGGACTTGTTACTTCATTTACCTTGAACTCACTTTTGTTTTTCTAGATCATGTTTAATTGATTCAGTCTTAATCTTTTTCATTTGTATATGTCTGTGGTAAGTTTTATTAGATTTTCTTCTTATATCTGTATGGAGTATGTGTGTATGTATGTATGTATGTATACCACCGACACTAGGAATACATTTTGAACACAATTGTATGTGATGAAGACATGGAGAGTACTTAACATTTTCAAGTTACCTTCTGGAAGAATCTCCCTACACTTCTTCCTAGGAATAAAAAACAAACAAATTTCCTCATAAACTGAGCAAAGAAAATAAATAGCTTAAGCAAACCTCAGGAGAAATTTAAGTACATATCTCCTTATAAATAACTTGTTCTTTAAAAATGTGGAAAGCATTGGGTGTACTTGCATAGGTTAACAACAACTAGAAAAGAGACCTTTCTGATGGTATGTCTGATAGAATGTTGTAGTTTAGAGGTTTCTAGTGAAAAATTGAAGGTTATTTATTTCTTTGTATTTATCTTTCTTTGCCAAAATGATTTCGAAGAGCTCAGAATTTTACCTGTCTGGCGTATTTTACTTCTATTTGCTGTAATTTATTTGATCACTGAATTAGAAAAAGAAAATTGTTGATATCCCATCCTTCATGTGACCCTCCCCCAATCCTAACTAACCTATTTAATCTGCTTCTTTAAGGCTAATGCACTCATGATGATACAAAGTATATAGTCTACCATATTTGCAGAAAGGGAAACTTTTATCCTCAAATTACAAATTAGTTTGCGAGATGTTCAATTAAAACTTGTCTGTGCTTTTCTCACCTTGTTTCATGAAAACATGTACTTCTTTAGTTACTCATTTTATCAGGATATGTTGTTACACTGTTTCTAAAAAAGCTGAGATGAGGCTTTTCACAGCATTTACTGATCTTGTCAACTCTTGATGCAGTAGAAATATAATCTTATGAACTAGGCATGAATTCCTACTTGTTATTTAAAAGTTGGTAACATTTCATATTTATGAAAAGAATGGGTGGCACTTTTCTTCTGAAGGAAAGGCTTGTTCAATGTCAAAAAAATATAATAGGGCTTTGTTACTGTACTGCTTGTTTTTCCACTCCAGTTAAATAGTCTGGTATTGCTTTTAGGTGCACTTGGTATATACTTAATACTGTGACACCAAATAGAAGATCATTATCTAACTATTTGCTAATAACATGGGTTCACTTTCAAGATCTGAAACAATCTCAGGAGTGAGGAGAAACTTCTGTGTCTTTATGGCAGAAAACACTGAACAATAGTAAGGCCAATACAAAGATCCTTATTTTGAACCAGTCCTCCAGTGGGCAGATGGAGAATATACTCATCACCTAATGGACTGATTTGGTTAGTTTTCTGGGGATTAATTTTGAAGTAACCATAGTTATATTTATAGCATATAACATTTTGACATGTGTCATAGTGCTCTTCTCTAGTAAGATAATAGGATTCTTAAAAATCTGTTTTAGAGAAGCAGTACCAAGATGATGAAGCTCTTGCAGGCGGAGGTGACAGAAGTAACACCTGCCCTTAAATTGTTTTAAGATGGAATTATCTCCTGTTGGGGAAAAAAAACAAGTTAGTTTCTTTACAGAATAATGTTTTGAATTGACTGCTGGCTACTGATTAAAAATCCTGTGAGACAGCTGATAGTTGAAAAGACTGGCCAGTTCTCTCAAACTTCAGCTTGATGAATTGACTGCTGGCTACTGATTAAAAATCCTGTGAGACAGCTGATAGTTGAAAAGACTGGCCAGTTCTCTCAAACTTCAGCTTGAATCCAAATCAACCCAGAGTTGACTAACTTAGATACTAAGAAAGATTGCTCTATTAGCTTACACCTGAGAAAATGGCATTGAAATTATATCTTTTCCTATTTATGATTAATATAAAAATTTTCACATGAAGAAACAATACAGTCTTTAATAAAAATTATTGTTTAAGTTCATTATGTACAGAAAAAGTAGAATGCAGACTTTCATTAGATAGTACTAATTTTGTTGTATTTCACTATATTTAGTTTGCCTTGTTTACTTAATAGGAACCTCGTAGCCACATGTAATGTTTGATACTTTTGTATATTACCTGTTGTTTTTTTCCTAATTCTTGTTGCCCATATATGTTGTTATCTTTATATTTCAGTGACACATGTTTAAATTTTATTGCAAAGTTTCAGTTCTTTGATTGAAAGTTGGTTGGTTTTTAGAAACAAATAATATGAGCGTGGCAACTGCCGTAAAAAAGTTCTCTTTCTAGAAAGATTAATAAAAATTTTGCACATTGCTGATTTTTTTATTGCTATTTAATCCTAGTCCAAGGTTGGTATTGCTCAGTAAAGGCAGATTATATCAACAATTCTCACTTTGGAATGTGTAAAAATCACCTAGGCTTTCTTTTAAAAAGTACCTCTAGAGTTTGTTTCAGCCAGGGAAGAGCCCAGGAATCTTAAAATTTTTTACAGGTAATTCTGATGCACTACAGTTGAGAGGTACTTTCAGGGCTATAATCTCAGTTCTTTTAAAACAAGTGTATTCAAGTATTCAAGAGTTGACCAGTGAAAAACAGTCGAACAAGAAAATGTTTAAGCCCAAATTCCTGTTAAGAAACCTAAGTTCCCAAGAAATTGAGACATTGCCATTCTTTTGTCATGTTTGTTTCACTGAAAGAAATATTCTGGGAAGCCCTATTTGTAAGTTTAAAAAAAAAGGTTCATGATGTCCATGGTGTCAGTATTTGGGGGAGTTAATGGATAATAGGATTAGGCTATTTTAGTATTCATCTTTACTAATGAGGTCCTCCAGCCAGGGAGCTATGATTGATACTACCAGCTGCTTTTGGAACTGATCTTTCAGGGAAGAACACACACTGCAGAGTTCTTAGGGCTTTCTTTTTATGATTGTCCTGCAAACCATCCCCTACTGTAAGCCTGTTTTTCAGGGAGATTAATCAAATAAAACTCAAGTTTATTGAGTTAAAATCACATTCCAGTCATTCCTCCTTAAACTTTTTCTCTGGCCAAATTGCGCTAATCATATATATACAGCATTGAGTTGTTTCATTTTTGCACATTGGCTTGTGCATCTGTTGCCTTTTCCCAAATTTTAGCACATTTCAAGCACTTAGTCCTATTTCCAATTTTTGCATTTTTTTCCCTCTTAATATAGAGTATAATAAAATTACCTTTTATTTGAGGCAAACCTGAAGTAAGTACATAAGGAACATAGATGGAATTTGCCTTTAGCAGAAAATGCTTAATTTAACACTATTATCAAATTAAATGTAGGGCTAGTACTTTTAAATAGACGGTGTAAAATAGTGCCATACAGGAATATAGTCAGACTTAATGGAGTTCTGTAGTGTCTAGAAAGCTTTTGAATTTGATCTTTGGTGATTGTCATTCCTTGCCATCTTCTAGTTAATAATTAACATTAAATTAAGCCCCTTTTGTGGCTGGGACCAGATTCCTAGCATCTTGTAGTAAGAAGTTTTGAGTTTCCTGTTTAGTTTCTCTTTTATGATTGAGTTGTTTGCAGTTTCCTGCATATTTACAGAGATGACTGACACACACTGAGTTCAATTAAAAATGAAGCTAGCTCATTTGAAGAGCTCATCAAGTACTTACTTCCACAGATTGATAAGTAAGACTCTACTACCCTAATTTCATGATACAGAATATTAGAAAAATTGTAAAAAATTCCAAGAGAAAGGGTATGTTGGGAAGTGACCATTCTCTTAGAACAACTCTCTTTCTTTCTTACATAAGTTAAAAATGATTGAAAACCATGAACTTGAACCTTTTAATGAATGTATGAATCTTGTAATTTCAGCCTGCAGTCTATTAAGGTAATGATACAATGCTATTTGCAACAGGGCGGGGAACTCAAAAAATATTTCATTAAAAAATTCATAAGTATAATGCTCCACATCACTAATCGTCAGAAAAATGCAAATTAAAACCACAATGAGATATCACCTCACACCAGTTAGGATGGCCAACATCCAAAAGACAAACAACAAATGTTGGTGAGGATGTGGAGAAAGGGGAACCCTCCTACCCTGCTGGTGGGAATGTGAACTAGTTCAACAGTTGTGGAAAGCAGTATGGAGGTTCCTTAAAAAACTCAAAATAGAAGTACTATTTGACCCAGGAATTCCACTCGACCCAGGAATTCCACTCCTAGGAATTTACCCTAAGAATGCAGGAGCCCAGTTTGAAAAAGACATATGCACCTCTATGTTTATCATAGCACTATTTACAGTAGCCAAGAAATGGAAGCAACCTAAGTGTCCATGAGTAAATGAATGGATAAAGGAGATGTGGTACATACACACAATGGAATATTATTCAGCCATAAGAAGAAAGCAAGTCCTACCATTTGCAACAACATGGATGGAGCTAAAGGGTTTTATGCTCAGTGAAATAAGCCAGGTAGAGAAAGACAAGTATCAAATGATTTCACTCATATGTGGAGTATAAGAACAAAGAAAAAAACTGAAGGAACAAAACAGTAGCAGACTCACAGAACCCAAGAATGACGGTTACCAAAGGGAAAGGGACTGGGGTGGATGGGTGGAAAGGGAGGGATAAGGGGGAAAAAGGAGCATTACAATTAGCACACATAATGTAGCATGGGGGGGACATGGGAACAGCACTATATACAGAGAAGACAATGATTCTATAGCATCTTACCATGCTGATGGACAGTGACTGTAATGGGGTATGTGGGGGGGACTTGATAATAGGGGGAGTCTGGTAACCATAATGTTTAAGTAATTGTACATCAACTATAAAAAAATAAATACATACATACACACACACATACACACACACAAGTATTATTGTCCTGTCCTCCAGCACAGTTTTTATCATATTGTGGGTATTGCTTACTTGTACTACTACAAGAACAATGCCTAGGGGGAAAAGGAAAGAAAACTTCCCATGTTCCCATACTGGGAAAGGTTTCTTACTTAAACACTGTTATGTAACCAATTACACCTTCTTCATAGAACTTATTCCTCAACAGCAGACTGCTAATTTTGAATACCCATTTTAGAGCTTCTGACATTTGAAATGTTAAATAAACTGGCTTACTATGGAATACACTGCAATAATGAAAAAGAATGACATAGATCTATGTATACAGACACAGAATGAACTCCAAGACATTGCTTAACATTTTAATGGTGTGGAATGTGCTTGATTCCAATTATGTTTTTTCTACAACAATGACAAAACCATGTTTTAAATTATCATATGTATATAAGTGAAAAGAAAAATATCTGAAAATACAAGTAGATTAGTAGATTAGTGGGAACTTTTGCTTTAATTGTGGGAATCTTTTTCCTGAGGTACTATATTATTAATTTCAGATGGTGGAAAAGATAAAATTTCCATCATTTCATTAACTGATGAAAATTGAGCTGTAGAGAAGAAAAGAGATTTTATATGTTCTAAATATTTTATTTAGCAATTTCAAATTTGTAGAGATGAGGTAACTTTGAAAAGTTTTATGAGGAATGTATGTATGTATTTAAAGGCCTATATCCCGTGACACAGCAGTTCTTCCTCCAGAAATTTGCTACAGATGTATAACTGTATAGTTGAGTACAAGAATGTTACTTGGAACATTATTTTTAATAGTGAAAAACTGAAATAATGGAAATATGCAACGGAATTGTGACTGTGTACCGATATGAAAGGTCTCTGACATGCAAAAAAAGTGAAGGACAGTTTTTCTTGTGACAGACTCATTTGTGGAAGAAAGCAGAAAATATGTAATATTGTACCTTATTTGTGAATAACTAGCTCCATATAGCTATCTACATTACCTAGATACTAGATATCTAATTTTGGAAAAGATGCACAGTATACTCTTAACTGATTGCTTTTAGGAGTGGAATTGGTGAATTGGGGGAAGAAGACTTCAATTTTTATGTGCTTTTGTACTTTTAAAAATTACATTAACTTACACAATAGGGTTTGTAAAACATTAGTTGTCAGAGTTTTAGCTTCGTGGTTCTGGAGATAGGGACTTGTTACAAATTTAGTGGTTGGGAGTTGCCAGCTTCTGTGGCTTTTCTGCTTGTTCATAAATAAATTGAGTAATGTTCAGAAGCCTGAGCACTTCGAGGCTGTAATAGCGCAGTGTACTTTTTTTAGCCCATCATTGTGACCTGACTTTTTTTTATTAAGGTATCATTGATATACACTCTTATGAAGGTTTCACATGAAAAACAATGTGGTTACTACATTCATCCATATTATTGAGTACTCCCCCATGCCCCATTGCAGTCACTGTCTATCAGTGTAGTAAGATGCCACAGAGTCACTACTTGTCTTCTCTGTGCTACATTGTGTGACCTGACTTTTACTTCTTGGATTAAACTTGATTGTAGGAATATTCTTGGTGTTCTTTTAAAGCACCTGAATGAAAAAGCTTGTCTGGCTTTAGAGAACCTCATACTTTGTTAGTTTTTAATATGTTGCTTTGTGCCTTTCTCACTTTTTTTTTTAGGTGTAAGGAAGTTTTCATTATTCCATAGCAGTCCCCAAACAGATACTTTTCTTAATTATTATCTTTGTTCTGCAGACTTTATGTACTATAAGATGTTAAACTTAGAGTAAATTTGTCTGTTATTTTCTCCCTTCTTTAGAAGTATTCATCTAAATAATAACAAATAATAGCAATTTGGCAAAATAGTCACCCTTAAGTTGTAGTTGTACACTAAGTTAAATTGTACACTAAGTAATCTTTAAATTCCTATTTTGATGCCCTCTCATTGAATTGACAGAAAGATTGTACCTTAGTCTTTACAAAGATTCTGTGTAACCAAGTTGGGTTAAGGTTCTAGAGGCTGATGCTGCTAGGATATTGGGATAGGGGTGCAATCTCATCTTTAAGACATTTGCTCAAATGAGTTACTACTGAAATATCTCACATTCTGGTCAGGATGGCTGTTCAGATGCAGCACCTTATAGCCAAATGACCATCTGCTCTTCTCTGCCCCACTTAGGACAAGGCATCTGTACACTTGATCTGGGCACATCTGCCAAGAAACTGTACATAGCTGTAATTCCTCTCTAGTGTTGTGTGGTCTCTTCTCAATGGCTGTGCCAAGAAGTCCCAGTAGCACTACCCTCTCCCCTTAAACACACACAAGTGCAAACACACATAACATCCTTTCTTGAAACCAGGGGAATCTTTCTCACCTCTAGAGAAAGCCCTCACTCTTTCTCCCAGTTCTATACAATTCCTGTGCTGTTGTCTATGCAAGACGTTTTATGTTTATTGCCCTGCTTATATCTGTCCTCCTAGTTCCTTAATTATTTTGCAACATAAACACCAAAGAGCCCCTGGAGCTGTTTCTCCTTTCTTCTTTGCCACATCCTTCTGTGGCCGGGAACACAAAAGTATATTATCTCTTTAAAAGGGTGTAAGGGAAGGAGAACTACCAGGGAAAAAAATTAAGCTAATCTTTTAAAAATATTTTGCCAGTTCTTCTTAATGCTTCATTGCTCTGTGTTTGTCTTTTAGCAGTTTTATCTGTCTGTTAGTGGGCTTCAAATGGTTTATAAACAGTCTAGTGCACATATTTATTTTTTGCTTCTTGCTAAAATAAAGGCATCTTTTGATGTGCATTTTGTGCATCAGGAAATTTGATAACTCATAAGTAATTTTCCTCTGTGGTCTTGTCAGCCTTTTCTTCGTCCTTATCCTGTGCCTGGTACACACAATCAGTCGTGTTGGCTTAAAGAGGCAGTTTCAATGTATGTCTAAAAACCTTCAAATTACTTTATTTCCTCCACTGTACTTTGTTTCTTCCTCCATTTTTTCACTTCTCAACCCTTGTTTTCCTTGAGTACCCTGCTTTTGACTTGATTTCTTTGAGAAAATGCAGTTCCAGTCTGACCAAAAATAATACCTAGTTTCCCAGTCCATTTATAAATTGGGAGTTAACTTTTGTTCATAAACTGAGCCAGGTCAAAGAATCAGATTAGGTTTATAAAGTTCATAGTAAAGCTGTAAAAAATTGATTCATATGTCAAAAATGCAAGTATGGAAAGAAAAGAATTACTTAATACTAAGTAATAAAAGATGATGTATGATTCACAAAGTTATATGAAAAATGTGAAGACATTTTTAACTGAAGTATATTAACCATTTTTTATAGTTGAATTTTATAAACCTGAAGGTAAGAGTTATATTAAGTTGAATTTGTATACTTCCACCTACTAAATTATAATTGAGTTAAAATATTCCAAGATAGGACTTCAGTTGTGCTTTAGTATTTTACCCTTCTATATGGGTTAGCTTGTAAGGTCAAATCTAAATCTCTTATCACTTACATGTAATTCAGAGGATAAGTAACACATGGTCTTCTGAACAAGAAGATACTGGCTTACTTTACATTGCTTTGGTGTTAATAATTCAGGTTCTCTCTCTCTCTTCCTATTAAGGATTCTGGACCCTACTTATAATATCCGTAACTGCCGGATTCTCCTGCTGCAGCTTTTCTTGGACAGTGACTTATTTTGATTCTTTTGAACCAGGGATGTTTCCCCCTACTCCTCTTTCACCTGCCAGGTTCAAGTAAGTATTCCTATTTCCTCTTATTTATTTAACCCATTCCAACTCTGTTGAAAATAATTAAAATAGACACAGGCAGCTTACTTGTGTGATAATATGTTGAGATCCTATTCTTTAATTTGTAAAATACAAATGATATAAAGATTTCAGCTTGACTCAGCTTTTAGATAAATGGAGAATATTTTGAACTACAAACCTAGATACAATGGTTTTTTAAAAAATAAAATTCAAGAAATGATCTAAAAAATGGGAAACTGGTGGCTGTTTGTCCTTTGGGGATAGAGTTGCATTTGAAACAGTTTCTGAAAACTAAATTAATATCAGCAATGTGAAGGTTCTGCTAGATTCACATGTAAGTGATCAGATTTACAGCTTAATGATTGGATGGACTTTTCCTCAGACTTAAACTGTGCAATAATTAGCAAGCATTTATGGCACCCAATTTATATGCCTATGCCAGATTCAATGCATTTCATAGTGGAACAATATTAAATTTCTTTGGTTTGTACTTTCTGTTCTTCAAAAAATTTTAGGAAATTCAGTAGGCAGTGTTATAATCTAGTTTTTTTATGCCAGGAAAGCTCAGGTTTTAAATACAAATTTCCAAATAAGAGCATCTAAGACCTAATTATATTGTATAAACTGAGAGTTTAGGGAAAGAGTAGGGGGAAAGATGAAGAGTAGAAAATAAATTCTGTTACAGGTATTTCTGTTATCTGAGCATTATGGCTGTTACTGTTAATACTACCAGCACCAGCTCACCTTATGGACAGCCTGTTGAGATGAAATAAGAAAATCTATTTGAGGAACTACTTAAATATGAAGTTTAATACTAATAATAGTTATTAATAGGCATTGTTACTAATGTCCTTCATTATTAGTAAACTCATATTTTTCTATCTTAAAAAACTTTTGGCTTCATTTTAAATGAAATCTGTGTGTGTGTACTTTAAACATCTTAATAAATCCTTATCTGTGTATGAAGTATCAGTCATATAATTCAATAAATTCTGTGTGTCTGCTTGAGGGGGATGATGGTTAATGAATGATTGCAATTGACAAACTTAACACCTAACAGTGTAATACTATCTCATAGTTTACATGAGTACCTTTAATTGGAAAGTTTATTTTGCTAAGTGAGGTACTATTCAATTCAAATTTATATTTGTTGCTGTCTGTTTACATCAAGTACTTAAACAAGGGGTATGAGTCTGATGGATAAAAAGACCTTTCATAAGCCACAAAGAAACTTAGTCTCCTTTTCTTTTACTTCTTCTGTCTTCTTTCTTTACTTTTTCTATCTCACTTTTCCCCTGAATACTAGCCTACATTTACAACTGTTTAGTAGATCTTGCAACCTGGATTTTAGAAAGCGCCTTATACTTCAAATTAATAATACTCTAGTCCATCTTAAAGACTTTAATCTACCCATTTATTGATTTGAAACCTTTATTCATTATATTTATCCCTCTCCAAGTCCAGTTATTCCTGCCTTTTGAAATATTATTGGAATATTCTGTTTTTCCCACCCCTCCTCCAGCACCTTATTTGCCCTATTTAAGGCCTTTGCCAGTGTTCTTGACTCATTGGTCTCCCCTATTCCAAGCTCTTAACTCCTCTAATTCATCCTGTATATTGCTGCCTTTCTAAGAACAGATCTTAGTGAATGCTCTCCCTTACGTCTTCAGTGCCTTTCTTGTTGCCTTCAAAATGAAGTCAACTCCCAAGTGTAGCCAAGTATAGCGTAATAGTCCTAACCCAAGTTACCCTGTGCTACTTTTCCAACTTTATCTTCAGTTGTTTCTCCAAAACACCCTATTCTGGGGCCACATATCAAATTACCTTGGCAGCCTGCAAATAAATGATGTACTTTTGAGATGTCATGACTTTATTCGTGCTGTTCCTTTTGGAATGTCATTTTTCCTCAGCTGCTTTTCCACCACCAGAAATCATAAGCTTCATACATGTTAGAAGCGTTTGGAATTAGAGAAAAGCATTTTACTGTTCTCTTAAAGATCTGGAATTCTGAGGTTATTTAACTAATTTCTTAAAAATTATCTTTGCATTTTGACTTAAACTAGAACCAATTATGGACCTTAATTTTTAGTGCATTTATTAGTTACTCAGTTTTAATAAGAGTGTTAAATCAAAGACTTAGATTATGTATTTGTTAATATAGCTCTAAAAGTAAAGTTTTGAAGTTTGTACAGTGTGTACATATATGTATTTGAATTCCTGTCAATAGGTAGGGATAAGTTAATTTTATATATGTTAAAATCAGCAATTTAAATATATCATGGTAGTCAAACTGTAATTTAAATTATCACATTAATAGAATCACAGTCCAAAAAAATCACATAATAAATATAGTGATAGTTGATCACTTATTAACAGAAGCCGCAGACAAAAAACTCCACATCAAATAGTGATAATAGGTAATATTGAGTTTTATAGAGAAAATCCTGCCCTCTAGTGCTTGTGGAAAATAATGCACTTACTTCAGAAATGCCGGAATAAGTATATTCTCTATGTCACCAGTAGAGTGAGTGCTTGTACAGGGAAACAACTTCCCTACTTTATGACAAAGTTGAAATGTTCGTTCTTTATATTCTTAAAAAATCAGATTGCTGTATTTTATTAATTTGCAACATCACACTTTTACAAAAATATCTTTGTAACCGGTAATGAGTTCTTTTATTACCCAAAATAAACAATGGTGTTAATATATTTTCCCTGATTATGTAAAAGTAATGCAAATTCTTTGTTGAAAATTAAAAAAACAGAAGAAAAATAATGGGAAAAAACCCATAGTCATTGAAAATGATTGCTGGTATTTTAATGTTTACCCTTCCATCATTCACATATTTTAAAATTAAAATTGGGATCACAATGTACTTACTGTTTTGTAATCCATTTTATATTTAATATTATGTTGGAACATTTTCCATTCAATATTTTTCTGAAATTTTCAATGTTTTAAATACACTTTAAAGACCAGTCATCATATATGTCAATTTATTTTTAAAGAGAAATCTATTACAAATGATAGGGTAGCTAGATTCTAAGATAATTATTAACTAGCAATCTGCTTAACTAACTAGAAACTAAACAGCAAGATAGTAATCAAGACATCATAAAATGCTGAGACTTTCTTCCTCTCTTTTTTCAAGATTAGGATTATTGAAAATATTCCCTATTTCTATTCCATGAATACCAAACATGATGAGAATAAAATAATCATGTCTAACTGGTTTGTTTAAAAAGCAATCTTTTGCTCTCCTTTGCAGATTTAAACACATGGGCATGTTTCTTTTAAACTAATTAGAAGTAGAAAAAAAGTTGAGAGCATGTTTACTGTAGCTGTCAGTTGTGTTTCCGTAGAAACATATAAACTCCTGAAGGGAAGGAAAAATAATCCTTATTGATATTTAGATAAAACATTTAGTGGAATCAGCAATTCGGGTCAATAATTAGGGAAGTTGAGATTAGAAACAAAACCCTTTCCTTGGATTCATTAAAATATTTTTTCATATTTCCTCACGTATTTGTTAGACACATCTTATTTCAAGTCACTGTAACAAAGTATCATAAAATGGGTGGTTTATAACCAACAGAAATTTATATTTCACAGTTTGGAAACTGGAAGGCCAATATCAGGGTGCCAGTATGGTCAAGTTATGGTGAGGTCCATCTCCCAGGTTGCAAATGGCCTCTTTCTCTTTGTATCCTTGCAAGGCAGAGAGCAGAGAAGCAGCAAGCTCCCTTGTGATTCTCATAAGGGCACTAATACCATTAATGAGGGTTCCACTCTCATGATACCTAATCCTAATTACTTCCCTAAGATCCTTCTCCTTATACCATCATATTGGGGGCTCAGGTTTTGATTAATGAATTTGGAGAAAGAGGGGCACAAACATTGTCAGTTCATAGCAGATATAGCTTAGAATCTTTCACTTTTACATAAGTACAAGATCTTTAGGAAATAAAAGGTAGTTAAAGAACTTTGCAAGGTTTATTTTCACACAGGCATTTGGTCTTGAAAAGCTTTTTTTCTTTTGCTATCATTAATCTACAATTACATGAGGAACATTATGTTTACTAGACTCCCCCCTTCACCAAGTCCCCCCTCACAAACCCCATTACAGTCACTGTCCATCAGCATAGTAAGATGCTGTAGAATCACTACTTGTCTTCTCTGTGTTGCACAGCCCTCTCCTTGCCCCCCCCACATTGTACATGCTAATCTTAATGCCCCCTTTCTTTTTCTCCCCCCTTATCCCTCCCCACCCATCCTTCCCAGTCCCATTCTTGGGTTCTGTGATTCTGCTGCTGTTTTGTTCCTTCAGTTTTTTCTTTGTTCTTATACTCCACATATGAGTGAAATCATTTGGTACTTGTCTTTCTCCGCTTGGCTTATTTCACTGAGCATAATACCCTCTAGCTCCATCCATGTTGTTGCAAATGGTAGGACTTGCTTTCTTCTTATGGCTGAATAATACTCCATTGTGTATATGTACCACATCTTCTTTGTCCATTCATCTACTAATGAACACTTAGGTTGCTTACATTTCTTGGCTATTATAAATAGTGCTGTGATAAACATAGGGTGCATCTGTCTTTTTCAAACTGGGCTGCTGCATTCTTAGGACAAATTCCTGGAAGTGGAATTCCTGGGTCAAATGGTATTTCTATTTTGAGTTTTTTGAGGAACCTCCATATTGCTTTCCACAATGGTGGAACTAATTTACATTCCCACCAGCAGTGTAGGAGGGTTCCCCTAAAAGTTTTTTTTTTTTTTTAAGAAAGATGGTTGTCATGCTAACTTTACAAATGTCGCTGAGTTAAAAAGTACACTGTGATGTCACATAAATTTATTAGGAAACAGTTATTTTCTATGTGTATTTGAATCAGTTATAGTTTTAAATTATTTCTTAGTTGTTTCTGAAAATCTGTTGCAGTTAAGTAAAGAGCAAAGGGCTGAGACAGTAACTTCAGATTTTTTG